GATCCGACAGATCCTCCTCGAGCTCCACGGCATGGCCGAAAGACCTTTCTGGAGGGTCAACAGAAAGGTCAGAGGTCATTTATGTGATAGATTTCTATAATAAGACCTCTATTAACAGTAATAAACACGATAAACACATTGCTTACTTACTGTGGAAAACATTATTCATTGTCAGCTATAGTGAAATATGAACTGAAATAATTCAAATACCGCTTTCTGTTTGTGTGCACAGTGGGAAGTTCCTCCGGACTACGTCAACGTGATCCTCAGCATTAAAGACAACCTGACAAAGGACCTAGTTTACATCCTCATGGCCAAAGGACTCCACTGCATATCAATAAAGGTGTGCTTACACCATCGGGGATCACTTACTTTTCTGGGTTCATAATTATGTGTCAAAATGGAAAAAGTAAATATATTCGGTGAAGAATATTGGAATAAGCTTTACTGACAGTATTAAGAATCCCAAATGGCTTGCCACGAATATATAATTTACCCTGGTATAAGGATGTCAGCAGGTTGTACATCAGCTCTGTCACAGTAATGTTTCTGAGCAGTGAGAATCTGCTAGAAGTATAAATGTTGAATACCCGTTTCCTGTCGTTTCAGGACTTCGCCCACGCTCGGCAGCTTTTCTCAGCCTGCCTGGAGCTCGTCACCGAGTTCTCCCCGAAGCTGAGGCAGGTGATGCTGAACGAGATGCTGCTGCTGGAGGTCCGCGCGCACGAGGCGATGGCGGCCGAGGGCAGCAAGGAGCGACCGCCCCCCGACCTGGTCAGCAGGGTCAGAGGGTACCTGGAGATGAGGATCCACGGTGAGGATATGGAAGTACTCCGGGGAGTTGTTCATCCACCTGTAGTTTGTTTTTAAATGTTCAGATGTGTGGTAAAGCAGCATCACAACCTGCTCTTCTGTAGATTAATACCGCTGTGGAATAAGAGATCATTTATGAAGTTTGGACATTTTAGAAAATAAATTATAAAATAATAATATTGATTGTACAGTAGACTGTGCAAAACCCAAACCCTATTTCTAATGTTTTAACGCTTCTCTCACTGCAAACAGCATCAGCAGACACTTTTCAGATGCACTTAAGTCACGTTTTCTTGCCTCCAGATCTGCCGCTGCGTCAGGTGGTAGGAGAGGAGTGTGTCGCCTTCCTGTTGAACTGGAGGGAGAACGATTACCTGACTCTTCAGGTGCCACCATCTCTGGTCATGAACAACCCGTACATCAAGGTAAAGAAAAGTCTCACTGCCTCATTGTAGCAGGTAGATGGACGCTGTCATTGTCTCTTACACTTGATGTCTTCTGCGATTTTGATGCTATTGTATTAATGTTTCCTCTAACTTTCCTGTGCTACCGTAAAGGCTCTGTATGCTCTTTAATGGTACAAGTGGTGTGCTCCCTGAATTTATTAACATCCTAAAATTTTCAATAAAGTTCATTATTCAGTTGCAATTTAGCCAGTTGCAATAATAGCCGAGATAGTGTCTAAACTACCATGAATTTGCACATGCAGGCAGATATACATATACATCTTGAATTAAAAATGTTGACGTTGAAACTGTCAGTTAAATTGACCCTCCCCTCCCTCCTCCGTGTCCGACAGCTCGGTCAGCTCCTGGCGTCAACGTGCAAAGAGCTCCCGGGTCCTAAAGAGTGTCGGCGCACGGCCAAGGAGCTGTGGGAAATAGTGGTGCAGATCTGCAGCGTGTCCATCCAGCACAAGAGGAACAACGACGGCAGAGTGGGCCTCATCAAACACAGAGAGTCCTCCATGGGCATCCTGTACCGGTACGCCAACAAACATCCCTCCTACTTCAGAGTTTAGAATAATGCAGAGCAGTTATACGCTGTATACAAACACACACACACACACACACACACACAGGCGAAAGAATCATGCTCATCCTGGTGTGTTTTCATTTTCTAACCCATATAGGAGCAAATTCATCACTTTCATCAAGAAACTCAGAGTAAGTATTCAATAAACTAAACCTAATCCCATAGTGGATGTATGACATTTACAGTGGATGTATGAGATATACATTGGATGAGGTGCTATTGATGCAAAAGTAACGAGCTTCATGTTGCGTCTCACAGGAGCCGTTGGTGCTGACGACCCTCATCTCACTGTTCGTGAGGCTCAACAGCATAGTGCGGGTAGGTCTTTAATTTGAGCCGTTACATTGTTGAATTTTGCACACTGATGGCACACTGTAGAGTCTCAACTAGGCTGTGTGGTGGGAGGAATAACCCACAGCACAACCAGGGGGAGAAATGGCTTTAATGTTGCTAAAAGTGCACACATACCATAGCTTGATTGTAGGTTTTGCTGCCGTTTCAGTCGGTACACGTAAAGTAGTTCTCTGCTTCTGCTTCTCACAATCTGCTTGTCTCACTCGCTCTCTCTTTAGGACGATATCGTAAATGAAGTGACGGCAGAACATCTCACCATCTGGCCGTCTACTCTTCCAACGTAAGAAACATTTTGGTTAAAAGATTTCTCAAACAAAGCCAGTAAATGTGACGATGGTGTGTGTGTGTGTGTGTGTGTGTGTGTGTGTGTGACAGCATACAGGCCGTAGACGTTGAAGCTGTGGCTGTGACGGTCAAAGAGCTGGTGTCCTACGCCCTCACCCTGAATCCTAACAACCAGTCGTGGCTCATCACACAGGCAGATATCTACTTTGGTGAAAAACGCTCCAGCAACCTTTTGCTTTTCTTCAGTGACATCTGCTGCAGAACTTAATTGAAGTTCCTGTTCCTTAAATGCTCACCAGTGGATTTAAGCTAAAAAAGCAGTAAAGCTAAACTGGCTACGACAATGAATGCAAAGTATGAACCCAGAGTTTCCCAGATGTCTGTTGGACTGAAGCCTTCTTGTTCCTCTCTTTGTTTTTTTTTGCAGTGACCAATCAATACTCCGCTGCACTGAACCTTTACCTCCAGGCCGGAGCCGTGTGCTCGGACTTCTTCACCAAAGCCGTCCCCCCTGACGTCTACAGCGACCAGGTAGATCACACGGGAAACACTGCACCTGCTTTCTCCCCCACAAGCTTTGATCAAATCCAGAGCAATTAAAGAGTCGAATAATTACAAAAATAATACAACACAACGCATACTCTATGAGCGAATTACAATGATGTAAAAAGATAGAAACTTAACATGTGTTAGTCTCTGTGAATTTTAGTTTCAGTCCACTGTAGAATGAATCAATCGTCTCATAACACTGACTGTTGTCTGCAGGTCCTGAAGAGGATGATCAAGTGCTGTTCAATGATGAACTGCCACACACAGGTCAGAGGTCCATGCAGTCCCGACAGTAAAGTCATTTAATTGGTTAACAGTTTGATTCCTGCAGCTGTGCCTCTGAAAATGTCAAAGTAACCTAAAGAAATCCCTCTCAGACTTTATTACACTTTCATGTCAAATGTTTATTTTCACACGCTGCAGTCACAGAATCAGAACATTGTACGTTGTGTTAGCGCACCGATTTCTTTTTCCGTATTCAACTAGTTTGTCTGTCGTCCTCATTAGGTTGCCGTTCTCTGTCAGTTCCTCCGAGAGGTGGACTACATGACGGCGTTTAAAGCTCTTCAAGAACAGAACAGGTACGTCATGTCACAGTCTAACCAGCAGCACCACTCTGAACATCTCTTACATCTTTTTCTTCTTCCACCACAGTCACGATGCCATGGACTCGTTCTACGACTACATCTGGGACGTCACCATCCTGGAATATCTCACACGTATCCTTTCTTTTAGTTGATGGAGACAAACACAGACCGTCAGAGAACTGGCTTGTATTGTAACTGGGTGTGACTTATACTCGAGCTCTTAGAAGAAACCCACCATTAACATCAACATCTGTGTCCTTCCTTGACTGGGCTTTTAGATATTCACCACAAACGGGGAGAGACAGAGAAGAGACAAATAGCGGTAAGCAGAGGAAACCTGCTGATTTGCATCTCTGTCTATCTGAAAAATGTCTTTTCATCATTGTGTGATGCATTTCAGATTGTCCACTGGGTTTAAGTGCTGTGTGTCATGTTTCCAGCTCTTTTAAAACACATTTTGTCCTTCAAATTATCTGAAAAATGTAAAAAAAAATTCACCAAATGTGTTTTTAGTATTCACTAGACGGAGCGTTCATTTGGCGAGGTTACACACTTCGGGGTTAAACTGGATCTAAAATGGAGTTTTAGATGGAGACGGTAGTTTTGTGACCATAATTCAACATAGTCTGCTTACAACTGAGTAGTTTAAAATGCTGTTGGAGGATTTATGTGCACCAGACATAAATCTCAAAATCTAACCTTTATATCTTCTAAGTCTACCCTTACAGAGAGGCTGCTTTAACTTCCCGACTCTTTCCCCAGATAAAAGCGATCGGACAGACGGAGCTGAACACCAGTAACCCAGAGGAAGTGCTGCAGCTGGCTGCTCAGAAGAGGAAGAAGAGATTCCTGCAGGCGATGGCCAAACTCTATTTCTAGGAGACATGTGGACCGCTGTCAAGACTTTTGGGGGGGGAATGTATATTTTATTTTGTGGTATAAAATAAATACAGTTGCTCAAATGTACATTTGTAATCATTAAAAAAAAAAAGAAACGCATCACTGACTATCCACAGCCCTGAGTTACACAACAAATAGCTCGGTAAAGATTACTGAGAAACACTGAAGAGTATGCCCTTTATTAAGCCGGGGCTTTCTGCCGCATGGCTTTCATCATGGGTCATACTCGTTCACACATTAGCTGACAGGTGAAATGGAGGCCTAAGCAGCATTTCAACTGACCCTGAAGCAGTGTTTCAAAGGTTTTAATCGGTTGACTAGGACCATATTTAATATGCTACAGGAGTAAACGATTGCACATCACTTTCAGTAATATCACATTTCCTAGAAATGACATTTGACACTTTTTAGAAACATTTTTTCTCCTTTTCTTAAAAACATTTTTTCTCCTTTTCTTAAAAGCACCCAGTTGCTAAAAACAGCTAAAAAAAAAAAAAAAAAAAAAAGCTTTGGCCGAGATTTAAAAGTCTCTTAAATATTATTTTGAATAATGCAGTCAGCGAAAAAATGTCACATCAGCAGGCGTGAACTAAACTCCCATCCAGACTCAGTGTTCCAGTAAAAGTCTTCTTTTCTTCCCTGTTTCCAGTTCACAAGGCTCGGCGTCCGTGGGACCTTCACTTCCTGTGTCTTTGCTCACACCAGAGTCTTCCTCTTGTGGTTCAGCGTGTGCACGTCTTCTCTGTGCTGTTGGGAGGAGTGAGGAACTGGCTGTTATCCTCCTTTTGACTGACATCCTAAAAGAAAAGACACAGGTTGAAAATCAGAAACCAATGAGATAGCATTGATTCATATTTAATGAAGTATATATTATGGCAGTTTTCTTTGGGTCTTGAGCTTCGACGTTAAATGATTCAGCTCAATAACTAAATTGCTCCTAAATCTGTTTCAGTTTCCTTTCTCCAGCCTCGTGTGTATGAAGCGTAAACCGCACAATGAGAGCAGATCACAACATCTTTAAACTGTGTTTGGTTTTACACTTTAATACGTGCAATTATAATCCATTTTACACTAAAGGTTTTCATATTGGTGAGTAAAATGTAACCAAATAAGGACCAGGGCTGGAACAATAGTGGAACATATCCATCCTAGTTTAACTGAGCCAAAGGTCTCGTCTTGTAAAGTCTGACCAACAGACTAAAACCAGTCCTCACTTTACGATCATTTAAACCAGGAAATCATCTGAAAACTAGTTTTTGTTCCATTTGCTTGAACAATGACTTAACAGAATCAGTTTTAGCTTTTCCGGCAACTATGTTGATCAACCGATCAAAATTAAACTGTTATTGTTACTGACTTATTCAATCAAGAGCAGGGACTACCGTTTTAAGGACGTATTTTTTCACAATTTTTAAACATTTTAGATGAATTTGAAATGAGGGATGCGCTCACACTTGCTGATAACATTTAGCTCTAGTCCCAAAGAGGGTCGAATACACTTAGCAACATCCCAACAAGAAAAACAATACCAACCAGCATGGTCATGTACTGCGTGTGCGTCTGGATGTCGTGTCTGTCTTCTTCCTTTATTCCCGCAAAATCCTTCAGCGGCGCTCTGCCGAACCAGTTCGCCGACTCCACAAAGGGGGCCATCCAGTCGACACACAGCTGGACGGCGTCTCCCGACAGACCTGAGCGCAGAAAGTCACACTGCGGTTAAGGCCGTGATGTATTTGATAAGGGGTCAGCCAGCGTGTCGACGTTACGGATACAACGAAGTGACGTTGACTGAAATATTTTCCGGATTACTTCTCACAGTGCCAGAAACAAATCGCGACTCAGCTCTTTCTGATCCAATTTTCCTCCTGCTATCAGGCTCCAAAACTTTCCCATTTACATTTCTATAAACGTAAAAATCCCAAATCTTACCTGACACTTTCTCAGCCGTTTCCCTTTGAATGAAATGGCTCAGGACGGCGGCAGCCAACACTCTATACTCAAAGTCCAGAGAGTTTATGTTGAGGATACACAGGTCTAAAAGCTGGACAAGGAAAGAATGGAAATAGAAAAAGATGAGAAAGAGCTCTGATGCCACTGAGGTCATGACAGCATGTTCTTACAACAGAATGAAACCCAATAGCCCAGCCCGACAGAAAAGGGTTTGTGAGACGTTACATTTTGACCATTTTTAAGTCGCTCAGAGACGGAGGTTTGCGTCGAACAACGTGAAATCCAAACACCTACCCGTGTCATCTGTACGTAAGCGTCCTGTGGAAACTGCGGCTCCAGCAGGTCAGAGTCGCTGCTCATCGACGCCACCTGGAAGTAAAGCTTCAGCCAAGAGACGGCCGTTTCGGGACAAAGGTTCCATCTCAATGCCTGCGTAACAAGCACAGAGTTAATAGAATTATGCAGAAAATCAAAGCAGGTTATTAAAAAGAAGATTAACGAGACAAAACGTGGTCCTGCTTGTAATTGCATTACCTTCAAAATGATTAACTCCATCTGAAGGATCTCCTCTTCGTAGTAGGTCCCTGCAGTCACGTAGGCCATCTGTGAGAGCTTCGGAGGACAGGCTTCCTACAAGGCAACAAAAGAGCAGCCATACCCATCAGAAATGTGTGCACTGCTGTCATCAGACTCATTAAATACCTCAGGGTCAACGGGCCTGTTTACCCCATTATAAATAACGGCTTCTCAACTGGCTGCTGGCTGTTTTGCACCAAACAGGCAAAATGTGGAACGTCTACATGCAATCTGATTTTGGGTTCTCCTCACAGTGCTGTGGTTAAATTTAGTTTGAAGGATTTGTGGGAAAGGAAACCCGATTGTGTTCCTTACCTCCATCTTTGATGCTATGAAGAGACACGTTATCCCAATGAGCTGCAGCATGCCCTTTTCAATGCTGTCCTGCGTCAGCATGAAGCGGTCAAAGTAGTCCTGAGCCAGGTAGAACGTCTGCCGGTGGAGAGTGTAGGCCTCGCTCACCTGGCGAAACGACAATGTAAAGAAATGTTGGTAAATCTGTTCTGATGGGGGATCTAAATACAAGTTATGATTTTTGCAGTTTTCCGTTGATTTGATAAAAGAATAAAAAATATTTAGTTGGCCTGATGTTTAAAGTGAATTTAGTGTTATTATAATAAACAAGGCTTGTCCCAAATACCCAAAACATGGCGGATGAATAAAGGTCAAACTCACTTACTTGGTTAGAGTTTTGTACATTGCCATTTTAAGCATTTACAACATTGCGACTCTAAAAATAAAAATTAGGGTTTCACACAAAGTTGGACCATCATGGACAAATACCCAGAAATGAGAGAAGCAAAGATAAATGTTTAACTCGAACAGGTATGCGTTTGTTTATCGAGATTCATTTACTCCAGTTGAAGCACGTTGGCAGCATAAATCTGAGATGCAGTTGATGACGCACCTCAATTAACCAGTCGAGGAGTATTGATCTCATCGTGGGTTGTATTGACGGGTGTTCCTGCATTAAGCTCTTGCTGTGTCTGTAATTGTGCTCCCGGCCAACCATCTTCACCCACACATCTTCAGGAGATCCCCATCTGTAACACGCACACAAATAGAGCCGCAACAATCAGTCACATGAAAAAACATCCGCAACTATTTGGATCATTATTAAAAGTACAAACGACAAATATTTGATTGTCCCAGCTTCTGAAATGTGAGAATTCTGGTGTTTTGTTTCATCTTACGTTGCAGTAAATTGTACATATTTGGGTTCTGGATGACTACATCATTAAACGGTCAGGGAGAGGATACCAGATAACTGTGAGTCACACCACGGCTGAATGATAAATACCCAAGATGAGGCAGAGGCGACGGCCGCACTAAAGAATCTGTGGAAGTGGGAGCTTCATCACAGTCGGCCCCGACTCTCTTCTCAGCAGTCTTGATGAGGACGGACGGCTTGGCGACACCTTTAAGTACCAGCTGGTTCTGAAACGGAGAGAAAGCCGAATGCATGTATAAACAAAGAGCGATGGACAGCACAGGATAGGGACTTGGTTTTTTTAAACGTTTTGGGGAGAGGGTGAGGGGCTCTTTGTTTTACTGCAAGAACACTGCACACGTTTATTAAGTGATACATTGTGTGCCTTTAATACAAAACTTAGCCAACACTGCACATACACTCACTGCTTGCTCTATATGCACTCTCACATGCCCATACATAACACTGTCCGTACTGTATTCATAGTCCTTCCACTGTCACAGCGTATACACCGTACTCATACATTACCCCCCAGCTGTTTATTCTCTATATAATAGTCGTACTTACTATGTTCCTACTGTTTACCTTAGCATATTTATACACACTGTTAATACTGTATATATATCTAAGTGTATTCATAAACCTTACTGTTTAATCCACGTCCTATGTTGTATTCTGTTCACTACAGCATGTTGTTGTCAGTACCTGTGCAGTGACAGTAAAGTTGAATCTAATCTAATTAGATCAGGCATGTCCAAAGTCCGGCCCGCAGGCCAATCACGGCCCGAGGTCAGATTTTATATAGCCCGCACCTTCTGTCTTAAAATGCATTATTTATGGCCCGCCAGCACAGTCAAAACGGAATGAATAAATCATACAAATTCAACATGCAATTCCTCTTTTTACCTCATGGTGGCAGCACCACTCTGTAACTGTCTGGCTGTTTGAAATGGGCTCTGACCCTTGACCTGTCATGTTACGGCAAGTAAAAAAAGGACAGTCGATAACGAGGGCCGCCGCTTCCAGGAGAGGTGGAGACCGCAATATTGTTTTTCACCGAAAACCGAAACAACTGTGTCTGCCTAATTAGTCATGAGACTGTTGCCTTGTTTAAGGAATATAATGTAAAGAGACACTACGAGACCAAACATGCTAATGCTACAACAAGCTATCAGAGCGACCGAGCTAGAAAAGTGAAGCAACTCCAAGATAACTTGGCCACACAGCAGCGGTCCTTTTCACATGAAAACATCATCAAAGTAAGCTACCAAGTGGCCATGCTAACTGCTAAACATGACAAACCTTTTACGGAAGGTGAGTTTATCAAAGACTGTTATGAAAATAGCAGAAAACATAATTGCCCCGAGAAGAAGACCGAGTTTGCTAATGTTTGCCGGGCTCGTAGCACTGAAGAGCTATCATCAGATACTAAGAGACAACTTGATGTATTTCGTTAGCCTGTTTCATGTGTGTTGAACTTAAATGTGAGACAACTTTTCATTACCCTCACCAAGTCATATTTAAGATTGTCTTGAGGTGAGAACATTGATCGGTTTCTATGTAATTAGCTTTTAGATGGCTTGTTCTTTGTGTTATCTGACTTTCAAGATGTGAAAGAAAGGCAGAATAGTTGTTGAGATGTGTTCACACATGAATGCTTACATTTGGTTACATTGCTATTTGCTGTCATTGAAAATAAAATGATTAAATAACAATGTATGTATAGGCTACTTGTATTGTTTAAAATAATGTCAGCAGGGACTGTTGACCCTTGGGCATTTTCACATTATCAAATCTGGCCCTCTTTGAAAGAAGTTTGGACACCCCTGCATTAGATCAATAAAAGAGGGACTTACCTTCTCACACTGCAGCTTTGACAGGGGCTGGACCTTTTTTCTGTTGCCTTGCTGAAGAAAAAGAAGAAAGGTATGTCAGACCCTGTATAATATGATTGTCTGTGTAATGACTTATTAAAGCTGTATGCTCTTCAGTGAACGGTTCCTTACCTTGGTTACTCTGCCTCTCTGCCCTGGAGCATTTTCACATCTTCTCTGCAGGCGAACGCTGCAAAGACACCGAAGTCAAGTCAACACGGAGTCTAGAGATTTGACAATCTCTAGATTCAATCAAGATTCAAACAACAAGTCACAGGGCAGGACAAAGAGGTCATTACCTTCGTCTAGACATGTTTGCTGCAGTTTCTGTCTGTAAAAAACAGAGAAACAAAGTCAGTGTTTGCTAACAACATAACCAGGAAGTTATAGCCCTCAGATGGAAAGGGTAGCAGCCAGCTGCAGCTATCTTTCACACAACATACTTTCATTACAAACCACGCCCGATGAAAACACAAAAAAACCCACATTGTTTCAGGGATTAGACCTCATCATACGCGCCAACATTATTAATGAGCGCGTAATATGAACGCTCAGCCACCACGCGCGAAACAAAAGGTTGCTGCTGAAACTTCAATCTAAGACACTTTATGTCAACTCTAGGTATCTTCCTGTATATTTATCAGGATCCTGCAGTTGTTTGAGATAAAACGACCGTGAACAGCACAAAGAGACATGCAGCAAAAGCCTCCCAAAAAGCTTCAGCTGCTCCCTTCATGCAACAGCACAAAGGCCCAGGGAGGACATCTTGTGCATAGTTCCACGAATAAAATGATATGAATTCAACACTAACCGAAGACCAGACTACAGTCATTTTTTAAACAATTTATCCGTTGTTTCTTTTGTCATTGCTGTGTAACGAAGTAGTTTAATCGTGATTCGGGTAATCATGCAACTTTACCGACAGAAACCAGGAACAGACTGCAAAGAAGTCGGAAAGTAGTTTCTAATACTTGGGTCTCAGATAGGAAGCTATTACCAGGATAAAGTTAGCAATCTTTGAAGCTAGCTTGCTAAACGCAACCACTCGGACTACAAGCTCGACAACGACAGACTTAACAAACATATATCAGCAAAATAACAAACACACCGCTGCGCTGCTGTGACTGAATAATACGGTTACACACCTGCAAACAAACCAGCTACTTGAGAATGATTCAGAACTGTAGAGGTGAAACTACGGAGATAAAGAGACTAGCTAAATCTACAGGAGCACTACCGTGATCAGCTTACCCTCCTCGGTTCCGAGATCAAATTAAAATGATGTCCAGTTGGCGCTGGCGCCAACAAATGAGCGTTTGCGACACATTGCGCATGTGTACAAATACTCCCGACCCAAAACCATTCAACCGGAGGTTTAAAGAGGTTCACCTTCAATTTAAAGGCGAGTATAGTTAAGTGTTTGTGTTATTTTCTTTTATCGTCTCTTCGCTTTAGTCTCAACGTCGTTAACGCATCGAGTAGAGTTTGTTCTTAAACCGTAACACTTACTAAACCAGCAACTAACGCAACGTAAAGAAACCGTCCTTTCTTTAAGCCGACTGCTCATTACCAAATCAGATGTTTGGTTTTAGTATTATTAAGTCTTAAATTCAATAGCAAAGTTATAGAAAAACAACATCTTACATTCACTTCGTCCTTTTCTTTTTGTTTCTGTCATTTGTATTTTCCGGTCGGATGTGACGGGCGGAGCTACATAACAGCACAGCCAATAGGAGAGCGAGTTGACTTGAGCGCGTGCGCCCGTACCAGGATGTAAACAAAGCAGGCAGCTGTCAGAGCTGTCAGTTAGGGAAGTCGAAACAGAGCTGCTCTCCTCAGTTACACAGCTTTTAAAACTGAATCATGTTTTTTCAAATGTCACAACATAAACTTTATATACCTTACATCTCCTCTGCAGAAATATATACAATATATATTCATTTTTATTTAAAGATATGCATATAGATGCAAATATGTTTATGCAGATACATGTTTTTTTCCAGAAAAATTTACTATATTTTGTCATTTAAATTCAACAAGAAATATAAACCCGTCTGTTGACAGACTAATCAGTTTTACCATGAGATGGTACTCAACATTTTGGCAATAAATGTGCACCACCGCAGAATGGAGGTTTTGTCGCCCCCCTCTGGTGAAATGCAGATATATAAAATAAGATTCAACTTTATTCATCCCGTGGGAAATTGCTGTCCAGCAGGTGCAATACAAAGTTGGAAGACTGCAAATATAAAGAGTGCAAATATAAAAAGTGGAAGATAACAATATTGTGCAAATAACGTGCAAATCCGAAATGTATACAATATAATGCCATATATTATATACTTCATCAGAATCAGAATCAGCTTTATTGGCCATGTATGCTTACACATACATGGAATTTGACTCCAGTTTCCACTCCGCTCTCAATGTACAAACACAATTTACAATAAACAACAAAAAAATATATATAAAGAATAAAAAAGGGCAGCAAAAAAAAAGTAGAACAGATGTAGGTATAAACATTTAACAGCTATATACAATATAAGTATAAATATACTGTATATATACATATATATATATATACATATATATACATATACATATATATATATATACATATATATATACATATATATATACATATATATATATATATATATATATACATATACATATATATATATACATATACACATATATACATATATATATATATACATATACATATATACATACATACATATACATATACATACATACATATACATATACACATATACACATATATACACACATATACACATATATATATACATATATATACACATATATACACCCCTATACACATACATACATATATATATATATACATATACATATATACATACATACATATACATATACATACATACATATACATATACACATATACACACATATACACATATATATATATACATATATATACACATATATATACATATACACATATACATATATACATACATATACATATACATATACATACATACATATACATATACACATATACACATATATACACACATATACACATATATATATACATATATATACACATATATATACATATACACATATATACACATATATATATATACATATACATATATACATACATACATATACATATACATATACATACATACATACATATACATATACACATATACACATATATACACACA